AAAATATGGTTCAACCGAAACCTTATTTTTTACCCAACCCAATATTTCAGATTGTTTATCAGGAGGGAGGACATGGGAAATGTCCTGCCAAGCGGAGTAATGGTTATGGAGTTCGCCTGCTTTAAAATGATTTGGATCACGGAAATATACTTCCTCAACATGACCAATGATATCGCCCGCCTGGACTTGATGAACACGATTGAAAAGTTGCTGATTTGCCGCTGTCTCCCCACTGACCTTGACGGGGCGTCCCCGAAAGTTTACCCATTGTTGGTCCGTAAAAGGTGTATCGATTTGTTGTAGATGAAAATCAAAGTCAGAATCCTTTTCCCAGTGCCAATTAGCCTAAAAGGGGAACAAGGAAAACCATAGGAGACCCCGCCAAGTCAACAGGAAGACAACAGCTTTGACCCGAAAATCGGGGGGGTTGATTTAGGTACCCTTTTTCGAAACTGCTATATTCCCAATGACTCAGATATAGACATACAAACCACGGACGTGCTTGTTTGTTATTTTCATTCATTCATTTATTGTTTCATTTTTTTTTTATTTTTTTTTTTTTTTTTTTTTTTTTTAACTGCTTATTTTATTGCGGTTTATAACCAAAACATGTTCACAATTCTTTACACTGAAGTCCACATATAAAGGAGAGTTATTAGACAGACTATAAGTTATTGAGCCTTTCGCGTTTCACCAGAAGGGTGCTTGGCTTGGCGAGCCTGGGTCGACCGACGGAACTCATTACAGTCAGCCTTGAAATGCCCCGGTTTATGGCAAAAATAACAGCGCGGAGCTGGTGATGCTCGTGTCGACCGACCGCGTTCGCGATAAGAGAACCATGTTGGCGTTGGACGACGTGACTGTTCTTTACGGAGAGTCTTTTCCACTTTTGCAACAATGTCGAGTACTTTGTCATGGTCTTTGTCACCCAATAATCGACGGATTAGCATTTGAAATTGAGGTGCTGGCAGGTTAACCTTCTCTCTAGCTGTCTGGTATGCCACTCTATAATAATCTCTTTTCTCGTGTGCTTTATCCTTGGCCGTGCTTTGAAGAGAATCCAACATCTCCAAAGCTTCATAGTTATTGAAATCTGTGAGTGGACGAGCTGTATACAGCAACATTCGTCTCCTTAAACTCTCCACAGAAGCCTGGGATACCTCATCTACTGACTGGCGTAATTGACGTAATTCTTCGCGTAGTTGCTAAAGGAAAGAGGGAACACTGTCACTAAGATTATAACCATTAACACGTGCGCCGTGATGATAGGCATATGTTCAGCCACTGGTGCTCTATGAGAATAATTCCATGCTAAGTATCTGTCGTATAATCACTAACTTACACCCAGAAGATTAGAGCATGAAAATCAATCTCGTACAATTTCAGCATAACCATTATATTCAGAGCTCATTTCTGCGATACATTATCAACTGAAACGATAGTTGATTACAACATACTTTACTACAGCGTAACTTCCTTGTACAACAACTACACCAAGAGTTTGTTTGATTGTTGATGTATTTGTATGAACTGCATCACGTAAACAGTGACAATATCTATTATAATATGTATCTGCTTATATCCAAATTTAAGCTTGTTCATTTACAGTCTAACTTCAGCCACCACGGCACAGTGGAGGAAATTTATACAAAGCAAACGAATCGATACCCCGCGAAATTGATCGTGTAAATGCTCTTTAGTGGACTGACAATCTACGCTGAGCCCCGACTATTGCAGTGAAGAAACTACAACCAAACAAATCCCGCGAGACCCATCGCGTAAAGAGCTATAACAATAGCTTATATTTTATTGTCGTTTATTCATTTGCAATTCACCCTTGACCATACAGTCAAGAAATTACAAACCCAAGCAAATCCCGTGAAATCCATCACGTAAACAGCTAAAACAATAGCTTGTATTTTATTCCTGCTTGTTCCATTTGCAACCACCCTTGACCTTCACCGTCAAGAAATTACAAACCAAGCAAATCGCGCGAAATCCATCGCGTAAACAGCTAAAACAATAGCTTGTGTTTTATTGTCGTTTATTCATTTGCAACCACCCTTGACCATCAAAGTCAAGAAATTACAAACCAAGCAAATCCCACGAGATCCATCGCGTAAACAACTATAACAATAGCTTGTATTTTATTCTTGCTTGTTCCATTTGCAACCACCCTTGACCATCACAGTCAAGAAATTACAAACCAAGCAAATCCCGCGAAATCCATCGCGTAAACAACTATAACAATAGCTTGTATTTTATTCCTGCTTGTTCCATTTGCAACCACCCTTGACCATCACAGTCAAGAAATTACAAACCAAGCAAATCCCGCGAAATCCATCGCGTAAACAACTATAACAATAGCTTGTATTTTATTCCTGCTTGTTCCATTTGCAACCACCCTTGACCATCACAGTCAAGAAATTACAAACCAAGCAAATCCCGCGAAATCCATCGCGTAAACAACTATAACAATAACTTGTGTTTTATTCCCGCTTGAAGCGAATGAAAAAACTCTATTTGATATGTAAATTTCAAGACAGTAGCTCAAAGGGTCACAGATACTAGTGTAATTTGTATTACAATTACACACACATAAGTAGGTCCGCTCAAACATCTCAAGTGACAAATAACAATATAAAAGAGTCGCGCGAAATCGATTATCGCAATGCCTAAGGACCCAACAAGGACTATGATCGGTCATATCTAGATATGTATATCACAGACAGTACGTTGATAGAACGGACGACAAAATAATATGTCGACAAGCATCACACTGGTACCGTAAATTATAGAACTAATAAAATTACGATAAATACGGAATTTTGACGAGACAAGATTTAATACCAACCTCAAGGTCTGGTCCATTAGGATCGCCTTGTGCGGCGCCAGCTTCAACAGCGGCCGGTGGCTGTACAGGTTCATTAATTGGAGGCTGTGGGGCTGCTTGTTGATCATCAGCAATAGGGTATTGAACTTCTGGTTCATCGGCCATAGTGCTATCCTGTTAGAGCTTGGTAACAAAATTTTCGTGGGTCATACACTCGTCTCGTTTCTCCGTCAAGCACTCCGCGTATAAACTGAGCATGAATGGCGTTCTCTGTTACACGCCCTTCTTTTATGTTCCACTGTCTAACACACGTGGCTATTTCTTCCAATCACAAGCGGCATTGTTATGGTAAATTTTAACTTTGCATATCATTTACGTGTTGTGAATAGCGTAGTTATTAGGTCGAGCATTCAAATAAAAGCGTCTTGCTTTCAATTGGGGGTTTCAATCATATACAGGGTGAGTAAAAAAACTGACACCTTTGAAATTCAAATTAGCTGCGAACTTATGGCTGGAATATGACAATTAACTCCCATGACTGACCCATGTGTTCAATCAACAAAAACGATTTGATAAAACTGTTCTTTTGTATTTACAGAGCTTAGAATGCATTTTAACTCCCAAAGGGAACAAACTTATGTTTTAGGTTAAATATAAAATATATGTAATATGCTTCGTATACCCATGAGATATTTTAGGGAACTTCTGTCACATTACAGCCGCTATGCGGCTAATTTAAATTTCAAAGGTGTCAGTTTTTTTTACTCACCCTGTATAATATCCAGGCAATCAGATATAACAAAGGCTTGACTACATGTCATGCTACACTAAAGGCTGACTTCATGTCATGTCCGCGTCGTAGATTTTGTGTATCTTAAGGTCCTTCAGTAACATTGGTCGGAAAGAAGTATGATAATGTTTAGCGTAGGGAATGTTTAGCTACTTTTTAGCTTACTCTCGGCACGTAATTTAGTCTTTGTTACTGCAGGTTTACGAAAATATTAAACTATCTGTATCTATCTAATGGCATGAATAATAATGATCGAAGTTTCTGGTAATGGTGGAATTAATTAAATGAAACATTATATCGAGATGACAGATCGGAATGTCATAGATTTTTGAATTATTTTTCAGATCTTTTATCACTCACTGGTGAGGTCGGAAACAGTTTAGTTAGCCGCGTCTATTTCAGAAGCGTTTTGTGGGAATTAACGTCGTTGAATGTGATATGAGGTAAGTTAACATTCTACTTTGATTTTCACGGAAAAGACTACGACAGCTAAGACGGCAAATGAATGCACGTGTAACGAATGTTTGTGATATTTATATGACAGTCGAAATGCCAAATGGACTTGTAATTGCTTTAGAGCGTTTTTGTTGTTCATCGTCGAAAATCTACGTTGCAATCCCATTACTAACAAAACGTTTCAGAAAAATAAAAATTGTGCGTTGTATAGCATAGTTTGCTTATTTAGCGACATCCGTTTGAGCCATAAATATAACACAGAACTTGCTTCGGAATTAATTCAACACATATTAATTTAACAACATAGATATTTGGTATTATAGTGTAATTGATGAGAAATCATAACGCATATTGTGTTGTGTTAGATTTAAAACCATGCAGCCGCCATTATAACCATAAATTCATTCATTTCATTGTGAAAACCTAATGTTATAAGAAAAAAAGTATTTTTAAGTCTTGTATGCATGCTCTAGCATATCCTGACCCGAGTGACCTCGGCTCTAAGGTTTGACTATCTATATAGTAAACAGTGGAATACCATTTAGTGTATGGTAAAGATAAGACATAACACTACTGCAGTAATGTTTGTACTGATTTTCCTATCAAAACAGGTAAACCCATAAGTATTCAGTATTTTTTCTTGTTTTTTATCGTACGAAAATAACTTTCTTTTATAGCGCAATAAACATGCTTCGTTTTAAACTGCTGGTAATTAATGTCCTGATCTCATGGATCTCATTTGTCTCTCCTGAAAAAAAGGTCAGATAAGTCTCGAGGTTAATTATTTTATTATTTGTTATTTCTTATCTCATCATTTTTCTTTCAATTTTATTCACTAAACAAAGTTGTTTCTCTCGAATCGACCAAGCGGAATCAAAATCAAATTTGTTGATGTATCTTGACAGATTGTGGACATTCAAACAGGTTATGATCCTGGCTCGTGTAGCAAGAAGGAACGTGGTTTGTTAAAATTGATCAAAGATCGTTCAAACAATGATAAACTGTTAGTTTGTGCTGAACAAAATGGAGTTTATGTCTGGAAAACAACGGACGGTAAAGTTCCGAGTGTGACGTGTTCTGAAAGTTCCAGAATTCTCTGTCGATTCCCGACCATTTTGTGCAGTTTTTCGAACCGCAATGAACAATCATTTCCATTCTAGGTTCCAGTCCATCTGGCGAATTTTTCAACCCCGGCTACGACTGCACGGATATTCTGAATAAGAATTTTGAGTCTCGAGATGGATTTTATTGGATAAATTTGAATCGAGGTGCTCCCAAGAGGGTTGGTAAATTTATTATTGGTCCTTTTTATGATTCGATCTCGGAGTTTTTATATATTCAGTCGGTTTTGCCCGATGCATTTCTTTTGTAAGTGGAATAGCTGGCAAATGATAATAGAAATCCGACGGGCAGAACTGGATATATAAATACCCCCCTCAATCATCGTTCTATTTTCTGCCCATTCTTAATTGCTCATTTTTACCGCAGGTTTATTGTGACATGACAACAGATGGAGGAGGATTTGCACTGATTGGTAAACTCAACAGTTCTGTAACATGGAAAGTTCCATCCAAAAACACAACAGTTGATCCATTTGGTGAGTCTCAGTGGTCCAGTGATCTTGGTGACGCTCAAGTTCTTGATTTCAGAATACAAATATCCACAACGGAAAACCTAGCCAAAGCAAATGCTCACTGGTAATAATGAATTAAATTTATTGTCTGTTGAAAATCTAATATCAAATCTCCAAACTGCTTTGAGTCACATACGACCACGGTAAATCAAGACAAGGCCTTCATAAGAAATCTGTCAATCTAAGACCAAATTATTCAATCGCTTGAATCTTCATATTCCAGCAACTAAATATTTATGCACTCAAACCATCTTTCTAAACCAAAACATCTTCCCTAAAATTATTCCTTATCTTGGCAGGTCCTACAGACTGCGAAATACCCGTCCTCTTAAAAATATCATGATTGTTAATCAGGGGGGTTGTGGAGCAACATCACCAGGCATTGGTGACATCGCTTATGTCAAAGATCTCCGGACTGAGAAAATTGTCGCGACAAAATTCCGCTGTTCACAGTTTGGACTACATCAACACTTTTTTCTAAAAATTGGATGGGTTGGTATTTAGCGTTGTTGTTCATCGTCCTGTTTAGAATTTTAGTGATAGTTCAACGAACCTTTTTTTGGTGTACTTCATTGCTTTTATATTAAAAGAAACGAGCATTTATCAGTTGCTTAGTTCCAGAAACACACAAATCAAATACATTTTCCATTTATTTTCAGGCAATGATGAACGAATGCTTCGAAAAACAATGTCCTCAAGGTTTTGCTTTTCACCCAAAGTTTCCCATTCAAACTGACTCGTCAGGATCTTTCAGGTATAACTTAGCAACGACATTGGGATGCACTTACCGCATCTTATTTCTATACGGGTCCCGGTTTTTGATCAAGAGGCAAAAGGTGATGCTGATTTGGAATTAATTTTAGCAACTATACCCTGTCAAAAGGGAAATTGCACCTACCCTCCCCCTTCCTTACCCAACGGTCCAAAAACATTTTTTTTAGATTAAACGGAATGATGTATTCCGGGTATATTGTTTTTAAAAAAACTTGGTATGAAGGCTTTGTTTTATTGTAACATTATTTACAAATTCGAAATAGCAACGGTAGTCAATATCGGTTTTCAGTGTCTTCATTGAATAGAATAGATTGTGAAAAGGAGATGTTTACTAAAGTTGAAATCACATGATTCACAAAATAACAAAAAAATGATTTTTTGATGATTTCTGTATATCACAGCTACAGTGTGGTTAGCGAAACATCTGGAATCAGTCGCAATTCAACCGCATTTATCGGCTGTGATAAAGGAGTGGTACGTCAACAGAACTGTTGTTATTTCAGACTTTGTAGACTTTAAATTCTCTGAACCATGCCTATATCTTGCCCGGAGTGCCAGGAGATTTTGCGCTCTTCGATTAACTCGAATGCCAACAGTAATTCCCAACCATCGGATGGAGATATCGATTCTACACAATCAAACAACGATAACAACGTCATTTGTGGTGAACTAAACTCCCACTTGAAACTCTCCTGGTCAGGAGATTTCGAATCTCTCAAACGATTTGTAGATTTGAATATTGATCTTAACGGTACTTGGAAATCACCGGGAGACGAGCGAAAATCCTACAGCAATGGCCAAACGACAATAATGTGGTGGAGAAAACAGAAGAAGCTCCAACTCAGTGGCAGAGAAGCCAATAGAATCAAAAAGCAGTTTTGTAACATCCTAATGGGCGAAGCAACGCTTGGCCTTGGCCTACCACGCTTGAATGACGAGAGCGGAGCAAGTAGCGAGCCACCCAAAAAACTTTCTGATCAGTGTTCATGTACTCAAATCACAACTGATCTCGACGGTATTAGACTCGATATCGAGATATTACAATCAAAAACCGATGCCCTACAATCTTTAGCAAACGTACAAGAAGGTCGTTCATTCCCTGGCCACAACATTAACAAATTTGAATTGCAAATGCAAGAATTCTCAAAGGAAACAGGAAAAATAAAACAGATGGAAAGAGACCTAATTGAAATCAAACGTATGGTCAATAAAGGAACAGGCGAACGACAGCTAAATCCGGATAAAGATCAAATTCCTAACATCATATTACTCGAAGATACGATACCCTCAACTTGCAAGCCTAACGAGGCCGAGGAAAATCCGGCAATTACCGCCCCCACAAATCCAAATGTCAAACAGGCTAATGATAACGACCATATGCACAAAGAACCCACCCCTCTTTCATATAAAAACAAAGGCAATACTCGAGCGATTAAAGATCAAAAGATGCAAATCAGGTCATATAGACAACAACAAAGCAAAGAATACACCCACTACCATCTGAACGAACAGCTACGTTCATATAAAGCGAAACACAGAGATATACATAAGAACACATATCCAAAAGAAACCAAAGTATCCAGTAACTACACTCAAACCAATCGGCCCCACATTTCTACAAAAAACCCAAAATCCCAAAAGTCCTCCTTTGGCTCGAGTAGACAGGACAACCGGCGGACTTTCCACCAAAAGCCAACACTAATAACAGCGCTAACCGCCGGAAATCTGATCGCAGAAACAGGCCTCCTTTTCACCGGAGATTGACAAACCATACACCGGCCAAATATCGGACACGTGTAAACAGCCCACCACCATATCAGGTAAAACACCTAAGGAAGTTACCATCGTACCAATCACATTGCCTAAACAAACCACTTACCTACCAGTCATTGGGCCAGAACCAATTCCCGCCTTTCCATGTACACCACCCACAGCAGTCAACTCTGAGCCAACGTCCCCAATCACCCATTTACAAACAATACTTCCGCCAAGCCTACCAACCCATCAATCGTACTGTAGACCAGAATGGAACATGGGTCTAGATAACGATGCATGCCACGTCGATCCCTCACGAAATCCTGATAAAGTCTATCCGATACCTGTGAGGATTACGAATCACAATGTTAAATTAATTAACAAACGAAATACCAAGCAAAACAAGCTTTTACGAAATCCCAATATGATCGACATTCCTACCACTGAAGGCAGGTCTTGGAATGAACACTCGACCCTGAAAGACCTTAGTATAGAACGGGACACTCCGCAAAATTATAACATTTCAAAGTCCCCCCATTTCCGTCTGGTACACTTAAATATAAGGTCTCTACGAAATACCTCCCATTGGATCCAATTCGCCGAATTTGTTTCAAAGACAAGGATTGAGGCAATAACATTATCAGAGACTTGGTTAAACACAACCATACCAAATGCCGAGATCAACTTGGAGGGCTATAAAATTTACCGCCAAGACCGCCTCCACAAAAGAGGAGGAGGGGTAGCTGCGTACATTCGGAGTGATATTAAGGTCACCGTACTGAAGGAAATATCATCAGTTTCCACCGATTACTTCCAGCAGCTTTGGCTCAAACTTCAGACTAAAAAGTTAAGATCTATCCTGCTCTGTGTATCATATAGACCACCAGACTGCCCGCCGTCCTGCCTAGAAAACAACCTAAAAGCAAGTTATATGCAAGCCGCCATGCAGGACAAACCCATATTTATTTTGGGAGACCTCAATTGCAACACCATGAAGGTCACCGCTGAGACCACAGCATTGGAAAACTTCATGTACGAGATGAACTTAAAGCAATTGATCACTTCACCAACCAGGATCACAAACACTTGTGAATCACTAATCGACGTAATCATAACTTCATCACCCAACCTTGTCCATCAAAGTGGTGTTATGGACACACTCATAAGCGACCACCTACCAGTATACACCGCGTTAAACATGAAACTTCCTAAGCCATCAGTACAGAGCATCCTGACGCGAAGCTATAAAAGCTATGATAGTTCAAAGTTCATTACCCATCTTGGTACAAGATCACAAGAACTCATTTCTATCTTTTTCGATTCCAATGTCAATTCAAAACTCAGAAAACTTAATGATGTCCTCTCTACTACTTTGGCTGTCCATGCTCCAATTAAAGAGGTCAAGATTCGACGTCGATCTGTCCATTTGTTACTGCTGACATCAAAAACAAATGATCTACAGAGACCAGCTACATCGTCGATACAAACAGACACGAGAAATGGAGGACTGGAAGAACTTTAAAACAGTCCAAAAATCAATCAAATCCACCTTAAAAGTCGCAGAGAAAGACTACGTCCGCACTGAAGTTAATACACATAAAGACAAACCTGGGTCACTTTGGAAAGTAATTCATAGCCGCATTCCGTCTAGAGACAAAACAACCCCAATATACAGCAAAAACCAGGAAGAGGTTGCCAACGATTTTAACAGTTTTTTCCAGTCAGTAGGGATAACAGCCGCCGAAACAGCTACGCAACTGGCCTTAGATAATAACATCAATATATCTTCCATGTCTGCCTGTGAAATCAAGAACCTACAATGTCCGATCGAAGAGTCATTCCACTTCATACCTGTTACCTGTGCGGAAATTGAACGCATACTAACATCTATGCCATCAAATAAATCACCAGGTCCCGACAAAATCAGTATGAGAACTATTAAAGACTGCCTCCAAGTAATCTTAGCCCCTGACGGATATCATCAACAGTTCATTTACAACTAATACGTTTCCAGAAGCCTGGAAAATAGCAGAAATCATACCAATATTAAAAGAAGGGGATCACGAAATAGCCTCCAACAACCGTCCCCTCTCAATGCTCAATGTAATCTCGAAGGTATGTGAGAAAGCGGCCTTAAATCAATTCACGAGTTTTTTAAACCGGACCGGCCACCTTACGGCACACCAGAGTGGAAACAGAAAGTACCATTCAACGGAAACCCTCAATATATTAGTAAACGATTTTTTCCTGAACGCAATGGATAACAAAGAGCTATCTGCCCTTATTCTGTTAGATCTGTCCAAAGCCTTCGATAGCATCGACCACACAATATTGCTTCAAAAACTAAGCATATTGGAGTATCTCGTAAGGCTCTAAATTGGTTTAGAAGCTACCTTTCAGACAGAAAGCAATACGTACGCATTGGCTCTTCAGTATCAGAAACTCTTCAATCACTCATGGCGTCCCACAAGGGGCAATATTGTCACCTCTGTTATTTTGCATCTATATAAACGACCTTCCAACAGCACCAAAAACAGCTAAGTTAGAATCATTTGTGGATGATTCGAAAATATTCATGTCCTTTCCAATCACGAATATAATCGATGCAAAAAGTAACATAGAAGAGGATCTTAAGAGGATTGCAACATGGTGTTTCACAAATAAGCTGTTAATTAACCCTGAAAAGACAAAATTAATGCTAATAGGCACTCGACAGTTAATCGGAAACCTTACTGAAGGACTGGTTATCTCGTTCCTAGGAAAAGAGATCACACCTTCCTCTTACGCCAAGACCTAGGGCTATTCATGGACAGTTTATTTAAGTTAATATGATGAATATACGACACGTCATATCAAATCTTCAAATGGCAAAACTGTACCAAATAAATAGAAGTAAGAAGACAGCTTCGATAGCGAAACCCTCCACACGATTGTCAATGCCCTAGTGATGAGCAGATTGTATTACTGCTCTACGGTGGGTCGAATACATACGGCAAACAACATAAAAAAACTCGAAAAAGTACAAAATTTTGCTTGTAGGATTATAAACAAATACAAGGAAATACGACCACATAACACCAGTACTACAGGCGATCGGTTGGCTCCCAGTCAAGGAACATTTACAGTACAGAGATACACTAATGTTATAAATGCATGAACGAACTTGCACCGCCGTACTTATGTGACCAGTTTTTAAAACGAAATGCAGTTCACAACAAGAACACCCGGAATAAAGACGACCTTGACATTCCCCCATGCAAAACAACATCAGGTCAAAGAAGTTTTTGCTATAGAGCAATAAAAATCTGGAACATTTTAGATAAAGATTTTAAAAAACTACCTTTTAAAACATTTAAGAAGCACTTAAAGAAAAATATGTTAACAAATAACGTTAACGGAAACCTATCTTAGTTAAAGTATTAAAATCTTAGTATAACTATATAACTAGGATTTCTCTTAATTGTAAACATATTTTATAAACATAGCATAGTCAATAACGTAATTGTAGATAGAAATATACCTATTTTTAGCCTTGTTAGTACATACTGAAAAGCCCTATTGGGAGTATGTTTTATGTATAATAATAATAATAATAATAATAATATCACGTATTAGCATTTTTAAACAAGGCTTCGAACTAGCTTTGATGCCTTATAGGCGTAAAAACCGTGACTTCTATAGTTATGATAAAGTGTTTAGTCCATGTATGCACAAATATTTAATCCAAGGTGTCAATCTCAATTTTAGTGCTGCAGTTGTTTTAGTCCACCAGATAGCACAGACGATCTTTGTGGCACCGATTGTAAGGCAAAACCTGGCGCAAATGTGGTAAAGAATGTAGTCGTAATATTCATAATTAATTTTATAACCTCGAGCACGTGCGAAGCGCCGCGGGAGGGCACTAATTCCGCCCGGAGATTTACAATTACACCCGGGAATTTTGACAGAACATAGCGGAATCCAAAGTTCTCTAAATTCTATGTCGTGGCCGTTGGATGATATTGTTAGTTATGTGCATGCGCGAAATTTGAATGGAAAAACACTTTACAAAATAATTGAGTAATGCCTATGTGCGATGAAAGAGAGAAAGATATGTAATCGATAAGCCTCCAAGTGTTTTAAAAAATAAAGTGTCTTCCGTATTTGCTGTCATTAAACTATACAGCTGTTTACAGTTATAGTATATGAACTTGGTATGTCGTTTTACAAAGACATAACCGATCAACTGGAAAAGTCGGCTGCAAAACTCCGATATATTCGCTGCATAAATATTCGAAGAATAAGTACTAATATTATACATCAAATTCAAATTAACCAATCAAAAAACATTATTTCTACCATGTGACGAGGAGATTTTTTGTGGTATCGCATCCCAGTCCCCTATTTCCGAGCCAGGCGTGTGATTTTTTGTGCTAGGCGTGTGACATTAAATTAATCACACTTTGATATTAGATTTAGCTGACGCGACGTCTCGCGAGGACTACACGCACCCACTGAAAATAATGCATATGATATTTTCCTCGGGCGAAGTCCTCGGGTAATATCATCACTTTGGGAAATATTTCGCGGAATCTCCCTAACATCAGGTCTATAAAATAATGATAAATAACATGTGACATTTAGTCCTGGAAGATTTTGCACTGTTTTGATGTTTTCAAGGTGGAACACTCATCGAACTTTATCATTTGAATAACCTGCACTCAAAAATCACGTAAATTGTTTTGAACCAAATTCATGTTTGTCGTTTATAGCTTAACTACGCCATGGCCAAACTTACTCAACAAGTCAATGCTGCCGTCGCTAAACTTACATCACGTTTGGATAAGTTGAATCGGACAGTGGGAATAAAAGGTTCTAACGACTACATGTTATAACGTGACCTTAAATAGATACGATACGATACGATACGGTGCTGTTGTGCATTCTTCAATTAAAACTTAGGAGAATGTTTCCTAAATATTTTGACAGCGAGTTGCGCCAATTTCTATAAAACCGGAGCAAGAAAAGATGGTGTTTACACAATAGATCCTGATGGTCTGGGATCGTTTCAAGTCAGATGTGATATGAGCACAGACAGGGGGGGCTGGACCATGTTTCAAAGAAGACAAGATGGAAGTCAAGATTTCTACCTGGGATGGTCAAACTATAAAGCAGGCTTTGGTGATCTTAACGGCGACTTCTGGCTGGGTCTTGATAAAATACATCGTTTGTCCAAATCTGGTCAAAATGTTCTAAGAGTTGATTTGATGGATTTCAATGGCGCTGAACGTCACGCTAAATATGGAACGTTTAGTGTTGCTGATGAATCAGACAAATACAGATTGAATATCGGCAGTTATTCAGGTAAAACACACCCTGCCTGGTGTGTTATTTACCATACACATGATTATGAAAGTTCAAAATGATACTATATTTCATCGATATACGTTTTTTTATTCCTAATAACACCACCACCAGGGGCCATGCAGTTGTATAACAGACTAGTTAACTTTTAACTGTAGTTAAAGAGAGAATTGGCCAATCAGAGTCGTGTATTTCTGGGTTAACTAGGATTTAACTATGCAAAATGTATTTAAAGAGTTTGATACAACCGGCCCAATTTTGATTTTACCATATTTATGCCTGTCTTTCGTTTTAATTAATGTTTTGATAAAACTGTCAGGTTGCAAGAACCATGTTGGCAAAAACAACTGAGCTCTTCTGTGGTATTTTCAGGGCACAAAAAATACATGATTGAATTTTTCAAATTTAACAAGTTTATTACACCTCAAAGTTATTCTACCTTTTGGCATTAACCATGTTGAACTTCATTTGTTAATTAAACAAAGGTTAAGGGACGTTACTCACAGATAAGTCAGTTTAATTATATTCGTAATAGGTGACGCAGGCAACTCCCTCGCTTTTTACAATCAAATGTAGTTCACTACCAAGGATAGTGACAATGATGTTGATAGTGATAATTGTGCTACGAAGTACAAAGGAACTTGGTGGTACAAGACCTGTTATTTTTCCAACCTCAATAGCATGTACCTGGGTGCAGGTCTGACTGACGGCATCGCAATAAACTGGTCTAGTTGGCACTATTTTTCAATGAAAAAAACGGAGATAAAAATTCGTCGAAGCTAGTTTTGAGGTTAAGACAGAGATACAGGGACATAATTATACTTACTTGCAAAAATATAAGTTTGAGGATTTTTTCTATAACAATTAGATAAACTTATTTTCGATTGCTTATTATGTGATTTTAGTCCGTCGAAAATATGCTCCAATGCCCGAAACAATTAATATTGTTACACTATTTTAATCAAATAATTAATGTCAAGTAGGATATAAAACAGTAATTAATGTTCAAGACATATCGGACGTTTGCACGAAACAGTTGAACATATTGCATCTTGTTTTTGAATCCAAATATGGTAAGGTAAATTGATCCCTGATTGGTTATTCAGTGATTTGTGCAAAATATGCTCCAATGCCGGAATGAATTCATTAATGGTACGCTTTTTATTTAATTAATTAATGTATAAGTTTATTTATTTTTATTTGAAATTGCCAAAATTTTCAGCGGATTGCAATTAAGCACGTTGAAATAGTTTGTCTTACTTTCCCGTCACACATCTGAAACACAAGGTCAGTTTAAAAGTTTCAATCCATACATATTTTGCACTATAACCCCATTTGTGGCATGCTATGCAACGTCTAATTCACGAACGAAACCCGAAAATCGCTGTGTGGATATACCTTTTCGAGAATCTCCAGAATAGATTAGCTCAACAAATGTAGAAAATCAGAGAAAACGTTTTATATTCTCCTACTGCATGAATGTACGATCCAAAAAAAAATCCGAAAAATATAATACATGATCTGTCCTACTATATAAACAAGACGCCAATTCTGGCGCGGTAACTGCGTCGCGCCAATCGTTGCATGCAACTGTGCCCCATTTCCTGTCAATATTTATTCCTTTAGAAAAATGTTTCTTTCTTAGGGTTTCTAGTAAATAGAGCACTTCGTACAGAATATACGGGTAAAACTGCATTATTGGTGCTAGGCATATGTAGCTAACAATATACGTGAATAAGGCTGAGTTTGGAATCATAGGATCGGTCTGGCCGTTTTTACCCTTGAAAGGAAGGTGCGGTTTGATTGAAAAATGGCATAGAATGGCATACAAGGCTTTCACAGCATATAAGGCTTTCATGGCATACAAGGCTTTCATAATTCATGTGATCGTTGTCTGTAAACCCGTTTTAGTGTAGGTTTACCATGATCAGTTTGTGCTAGTGTATGCCGAGTGAGCATATCAAACAAGACAAGACGAGAATCCAGCATTATGATTACCTGTACGTATTTTCTCGAACGACAGACGTCTAGATTTCCTGCGCTATTGGCCATGCACAGCGACTCGTGTACGTGTTATTTTATATGACGTTCGTGCATGCAGTTTCCTGCTTTTGGTTCGCACGACCAGAGTTCGAATCCCGGCGACAACAAACTTTTTCAATCTTTGTTTCAGTAAAATATCTCTTTTGTGGGGGTTACTAGGCTTAGATTACTATTTGAAGTGTGTTTAGCACGAAAATATTTCGATACGAAATCAGACGAGTTCAAAATACGCCGGAGTATCTTATTTGGCCTGCGCGGCCAGGAAGACCGGGTCGAAAACGTAAAAAAAACACGAAAAAAACAAACAAACAAAACACCGACGGCAATTTTAGACTGCGTTCGTGCAATGCGCGACGCAGTAACAAGACAAAGCGACAATTCCAAGTGCATTGCGAAATCCTGAACATGCAGCGCTATGTATCTTGTGGCTCTCGTACAGAGTTGAAAAAACGAAGGCTCTTGCCCCTCTTCTAATATTGAGTCGCCAGAGTCGGGCGTAAAAAAGATATATTCTAGAGCTTATGGTGGTATTGCGTCTAATCTCAGCTATACCAGCGAACCTTCAGAGTCAGACATTTCAATCATTTAATAAATACGAGATCCAGGCTAATAAGTGGACCGATTTCAATAAGTTAGTAAGCCCCGATTATCATATTTCTGGTCATGTATTTCACATAGGCAAACAACTCTCTGTTTCAGTATGCTGAATATGTTTCGTTTCAAACTGCTGGTAATTAATGTCCTGATCACGTGGAACTCATTTGTCTCTCCTGAAATTAAGGTCAGATGTTTCAATGTTAATTCGTGTTATGATTCACTTTATCGTATTCTCAATTTTGATTGGTTAATTTACCTGCAGTTAACCGTGCAAAAAATACTCTGAGCATGCGCATTTGTTAAAAACGTTGCTCAGCTGCAAATAATACTCTGAGCTGATACTCTTTTGTAAATAATAATGGCGACTCGCTTTGGTGTACTTTCGGAAAATGAGTTGTATTGCTTACTCGAAGAAAAAACGCAGAAAATACCAAAAAAATAATAAGTGAATGATAAAACCATTACTCGGTTCTCGCAAAATATCGTGATTTGTCGGTGGCTCGCAGAATAATTGGAAATTCGACCTCGTCCAATAATTGATTATTAAAATTAAAAAAAAATTTCTTGCTGTATTTTACCAGAGTGTGGACATTCAAACAGGTTATGATCCTGGCTCGTGTAGCAAGAAGGAACGTGGTTTGTTAAAATTGATCAAGGATCGTTCAAACAATGATAAACTGTTAATTTGCGCTGAACAAAATGGAGTTTATGCCTGGAAAACTACGGACGGTAAAGTTCTATGCGTAACGTGCAAAAGTTCCAGATATTCTGTCAATTCCCGACACTTTTGTTTAGTTTTTCGAAACGCCCAAATGAACAATCATTTCCATTCTAGGTTCCAGTCCGTCTGGCGAATATTTCAACCCCGGCTACGACTGCACGGATATTCTGAATAAGAATTTTGAGTCTCGAGATGGATTTTATTGGATAAATTTGAATCGAGGTGCTCCCAAGAGGGTTGGTAAATTTATTATTGGTCCTTTTTATAATTCGATCTCGGAGTTTCGATACTAATTTAGCTGGTTCTAGCCGATGCATTTCTTTTGTAAGTGGAATAGTTCACATTAGAAATCCGACGGGCAGAATTGAATATATAAATATTCCTCACCCACTCAATTATCGTTCCAGTTACGCCCTAGATCACGCAGTGCTATCTTCTGCCCATTCTTAATTGCTCATTTTTACCGCAGGTCTATTGTGACATGACAACAGATGGAGGAGGATTTGCGCTGATTGGTAAACTCAACAATTCTGTAACATGGAAAGTTCCATCCAAAAACACAACAGTTGATCCATTTGGTGAATCTCAGTGGTCCAGTGATCTCGGTGACGCTCCAGTTCTTGATTTCAGAATACAAATATCCACAAGGGAAAACTTGGCTAAGACAAATGCTCACTGGTAATAAGAATAAGTCGTTGTCTGTTAAAAATTTGAGAACAAATTCCCAAGTATTTGAGTTATTGATCAAGGAACACCTGCACTCAGGGGATCAAAAAATCATCCTCATGGCTTTATCTTGAGTCAATAATTCAGTAACTCAACATTTGCATATTTAAAATTATTTATGGTAGTCTAAGATCAGTTATTTCTATTTTTCTTGTGTCAATTGTAAAATATATTCACACTTCAAATAATTTTTATCTTTGCAGGTCGTACAGACTGCGAAATATTCGTCCTCTCAAAAACATCATGATTGCTAATCAAGGGGGTTGTGGAGCAACATCACCAGGCATTGGTGACATCGCTTATGTCAAAGATCTTCAGACTGAGAAAATTGTCGCGACAAAATTTCGCTGCTCACAATTTGGAACATTTCGCCATTTTTTTCTAAAATCTGGATGGGTTAGTTTTTTAAGTTGTTGCTCATTTTCCTGTTTATAGTTTTAAGATTGTTGGACATTTTGTTGGCATGCCTTGATGCCTAATCGCATGCCTTGACGAAACGAACAAAGCATATTTTGCTTGCTTAATTCCTGAAAGACGCTAAATAAATACATTTTCCATTTATTTTCAGGCAATGATGAACGAATGCTTCGAAAAACAATGTCCCCAAGGTTTTGCTTTCCACCGCGTATATCCTATTCAAACTGACTCGTCAGGATCTTTCAGGTATAAACTAAGCAGCAACACTAGGGATGTACCTGGCGTATCTTATTTTAATTTGGGCCCGAGATGTAGGGAGAGAAATGAGGAAACTTATGAAACTTTAAATTTCTAAACTTTATCCATTCAAAAGGAAAAATTCACAATTGGTCCCCCCCCCCTTCTCTCCTCAACGATCCTTACACATTTTTGTTAAATTAAAGCGATGATGTATTCATTTTATATTGTCTTTTTAAGAAACGTGATATCAAGAGGTTTGTTTGACTGACATCGCAACATCGTTTAAAATTTTAAAATTGCTGGTGTAGTCAATGACGGTGAATAAGTGCCTCCATAGAATACAATAGAATATGCAGGGGAGAAGTTAACTAGAGTTGAAATCGCATAAAAAAGTAATCAACAAAACGGAGATTTGTGATTGGTGATTTCAACTTATATATTACAGCTACAGTGTGGTGAGCGAAACATCTGGAATCAGTCACAATTCATCTGCATTTATCGGCTGTGATAAAGGAGTGGTAGGTCAATAGAGCTATTGTCATTCCAGACTTTGTAGACTTTAAATTCCCGGGATCATACATATATCAAGGATAAGTTTGCATTTTTGAACAAGCATTCGAACTTCGTGTAGGCGTATAATCCCAGACTTCTAGTGATGGAAAACATTTTGAGACCGTATGTGCCTGTATTGAACTGATTTCAAGGAATTAATCTGAATTTTAGTGCTGCAGTTGTTTTAGTCCACCAGATAGCACAGAAGATCTCTGTGGCACAGATTGTAAGGCAAAACCTGGCGCAACTTTGATAAAGAATGTTTATTCATGGTTCTGGGTGAGGACATCTTCTCCAAAGAAAGTTTGGAACAAATGCATGGATTATAAAGTTTCTGAAACTAACGGAGACGAGGTCTGGTACAAGTTGGTTGGTCAAAATGTTGTCCCTAAGAGAGTAAGTCAGCACGAATATTGCTTGCTTGTCCGTGGCAGAGATAACTGACTTATAATTATATTCATTGCAATTAGAATGTGTATTTTTTGGAGGCACTTAAATGTGGGCGTTGCAAGTGATTATGCATTACTTCTTTTTAGGGTCGTTGTTCCAGAAACGATCCGCTTTTAAATGGCGGAGTAAGTAATAACATGATATAATAGTAATAATTCCATGCTCTGGTCCATTCCAATCTAATTTTAAATCATCAAATATAGTTGTGCTTTCTATTGAACCTTACTTTCCTCTTATAAAAGAATTTTTGAATATTCCATTTTTGTCTTAGATTATAGTTGTTCCTGATAATGGAAGTGTTAGTAAAATTCCAGCCGTCTCAGGAATATTAAAATTTCGAAAGGACAATCAAAAACTTTATGTAAGATCAAATGAAAGATGGAATGTGATTGCGGAAGGGAAAAAGGTAGTTATAATATTGATAATTTATAACCTAGAGCACGTGCGAAGCGCCGGGCGAGCCGGGTACTAATTCCACCCGGGTATTGTGACAGAACATAGCGGAATCCAAAGTTGTCCAAATTCTATGTCGTGGCCGTTGGATGGTATTGCTGGTTATGTGCATGCGCGAAATTTAGAGAAAGATATACAGTGTGTATCAAAAAAATTCGAATGCAACTTTGACAGGCTGCTATGTATAAAATACTAAAGTAAATGATATAATTTTTATATGGCAACAAAGATTAGCTTATTTAGTTTGCGTTCATACCATTCTTATATCGACACGGCCAAAACTGGCCGAGTTATCGACTTTTAAAAATTGTTGCTCGAAATCAAATTTTTCCGCCGATGGGAATTCGAAGTGAGACCTCCAGACAAAAGAAAATGCAAATTTAATCAGTAAATGTTCGTTGTTCCGTGCTTAATTGAGGCATTGTGTTCTTCAAAGCTATCGTTGAACATTGAATAAGCAGAATTTTTGGCGATAAATTTGCATTTTAGTCTTCGTAATAATTAGATTTTAAAGCCCTTTGGGACTAATTTTCAATAAAACAAACGTCCAATTCCCATCGACGGAAAATTGTGATTTTTATGAACTTTTTTTGTCGAACCAGTACTCTTTCACTTTTAAACTAAATGGCACGTACGTGTCATTTGAAAGAGAAATAAATGAACTTCACAATGGTGTAAAAATCAACCAAATTTGTCAAATATATTTTGCATTATTACACGCTAAATTTAGATTCGAATTTTTTTTATACACCCTGTATAATCGACAAGCCTCTAAGTGTTTTAAACAATTAAGTGGCTTTGTTTATTCCGTATTTGCTGTCATTAAAATATACAGTTTACAGTTATAGTATATGAGCTTGGTATGTTGTTTTGGAAAGACGTAACTGATCAACTTAAAAAGTCGGCTGCAAAACTCCGATATATTCGCTGCATAAATATTCGAAGGATAAGTACTAATATTATATCTCAAATTCGAATTGGCTAATCAAAAAACATTATTTCTACCATGTGACGAGCAGATTTTTCGTGGTATTGCATCCCAGTCCCCTATTTCCGAGCCAGCCGTTTGATTTTTCGTGCTAGGCGTGTGACATTAAATTTATCACACTGTGATATTAGATTTATCTCACGCGACGTCTCGCGAGGACTACACGCACCCACTGAAAATAATGCATATTGATATTTTCCCTCGGGAAATATCATCACTTCGGGAAATATTTCGCCGAGTCCCCCTCACCTCAGGTCTATAAAATAATGATAAATAACATGTGACATTTAGTCCTTGATTTTGCACTGTTTTGATGTTTTCAGGGCAACTTTATTATTCGAATAACCTGCACTCAAAAATCACGCAAATTGTTTTGAACCAAATTCACTTTTGTCGTTTCTAGCTTAACTCCGCCATTGCCAAACTTACTCAACAAGTCAATGCTGCCGTCGCTAAACTTACATCACGTTTGGATAAGTTGAATCGGATAATGGGAATAAAAGGTTCTAACGACTAAATGTTATAACGTGATCTTAAATAGATACGATACGATACGGTGCTGTTGGGCATTTTTCAATTAAAACTTAGGAGAGCTTTTGCTAATATTTTGACAGCGAGTTGCGCCAATTTCTATCAAACCGGAAGAAGAATGGACGGAGTCTACATAATAGATCCTGATGGCCAGGGACCGTTTCAAGTCAGATGTGATATGAACACAGACGGGGGTGGCTGGACCGTGTTTCAAAGAAGACAAGATGGAAGTCAAGATTTCTACCTTGGATGGTCAGACTATAAAGCAGGCTTTGGTGATCTTAACGGCGAGTTCTGGTTGGGCCTTGATAAAATACATCGTTTGTCCAAATCTGGTCAAAATGTTCTAAGAGTTGATTTGATGGATTTCAATGGCGCGGAAGGTTACGCTAAATATGGAACGTTTAGTGTGGCTGATGAATCAGACAAATACAGATTGAATATCGGCAATTTTTCAGGTAAATCACACTCTTGGTAAAAATAATACAGCGAACAAAAATATCAAGTACTTGTTTATAATCAACTAAAGACTAAATATAGGAGCCGTAATAACACCAAATTTTTGCATTGAGCATATTTTTCCACGGCTTTTGTTTCAATCATTTTCTTGACCAAAATACGAGCAGGTTGTAGGTATTCATACTGGCATAAATAACCGAGCGATTCATAAAATAAATTTCACTTATTGCATTCTATTTTAAAAGATCGTGCAAAGTTTTTACACCTTTCGTCATTAACGATGAGGAGAAACGGTGGCAAACGCACTCCTATTAAAACTGGAAATTCGGCGGTTGCAGAAAAGGCAGTAAAGATTTTTTCATCCATTTCAATCTTCCATCTTAATCTTATTATTTGCTTAAGATACAGATTCGGTAATATACGATTTTAGAACGAGGTCTAATAGCAGACGGATTACTTTCCAGAAGGATCGCATCGGAATTTAAATAGTGTTATAGAAAATTTCAAGACATCACTTTCTGTTTTTAAATGTTATATTCATTGATATTTTTTAATATATTTTTAAAAGGTGACGCAGGTGATTCTCTTGGTTATCACAATCAAATGCAGTTCACTACCAAAGATAGTGACAATGATGCTTGGAGTAGTAATTGCGCTACGAGATGGAAAGGAGGTTGGTGGTTCAACAACTGTCACTATTCCAACCTCAACGGCCTGTACCTGGGCGAAGGTCGGTTTAGTCCCACTGGAATAAACTGGTACGATTGGAAAAGATGGCATTCATTAAAAAAGGCAGAGATGAAAATTCGTCCAAGTCAGTTTTAAGATAAAACTCTTTAATCGCCAAGAACGTGAGTTTGAGGATGTTTTTTGAATCCCAAGTTTCAAGTTGGTTATTATGTGATTTAATTCCGAATTAATTAATGTCGCAGTATTTTAAATGATTATTTAATTAATATTAAAGGCGGGTTAGGCCTGTTTTCCACCTCAACCGTATCGTAGTGAAACGTAGCGTATCTCATTAATCATTGACATTGCTTAAGTCATTACGTTACGCTACGATACGGTTGAAGTGGAAAACAGGCTTTGCAGTCGCTCAAACAGTTGCTCATGAAAATGAGTAGTCTACTTGTTTCAAAATTGCTCAAATTTCTCATTTTTTGTAATAAACTCTCTCTCATATTCATTTAAAAGTTCAGCGAACTAAAAGCGTGTCAAATATTCTGAAAGTTTTTGATATTTTAGGAAATATATACGGATTGGAAATGTGAACAAAGCGTTTGTTAACATTACGGCAAGACTTCGCCCTACCTTTAAGTGATGGTAATTAATGAATAAGTTATAGCGTGCAATAATACGTTTGGCCATTTGGACATCAACAGTCCACCACCGCGCACTGCCATTCACAAAGGCTTCAGAAACATTTTATATATTTGACCACTTCCCGTATAATGTCATCATCAGTCAACGTAAGAGATCGGGAGTGTACATTTTCAAAACATCATGCATGCAAAGTTAATCTGAATTAAGATCTCTTACAAGTCAGGGCACAAAACACAGTTTGGCCGCTAACCGCGTTATTTCAGAAGGCAGAAGCTTTGTATATCTTGTAAGTTGAATGTCGTTGTTATATGTATATTTATCCGTAATTGCGTCTGAAACTTCACCATATACTACATTTACCAGTGTCGTGATTTTCTTATTCAATCATAAAAATTCCGACGACATTCGTTTAAGCAACCAAATAATATAAAATTTTATTTCTATAATATCTTTAGTTATAAGAATTATTAAGAGTTTATTTCAGAAATCGTGGGTATGTCGACAGGTATTGATAACATAATTCATTGGGCTAATAATGAAGTGTATTTTTCAGTATTTTTTTCATGTTCTAACATGTTCTGACCTTCTGAAGGGTTCAACTATTGTTATAACAAATCGTATTGCAATTCAACGCAGGTTGCTAGTTTAATTCACCGGATGTTATTTATTACGTTAGCTGAAAGATGAGGCAAAATGAGCGGGCCTGTATCTGCTAAAATCTAGACGAAAGCTGCTCTTTCCGCTGAAAGAGTTTTTTCCGGCCACCAAGTCTGTGAAAACGACACATTGTCATCGAATGATTATGACAATTCATAATACGCGGGTAAGCGCGTCCAATCATCCAGCGATCTATGTTGCAGATCTATACGTGGTGAAAAAATTCTACTCTTTACCTTAAATAGTTTTTGACCCGGAAAGGATTTGAAAAAAAGAAGGGAAATTGCATATTCCACGCAGTGGAAAATATACGGCTTTTATGTAATCATATTGGGTAGGACGCATATAAGATACAAGCCTGACATTAGAGGTCACTCGTATCCATCATTTCATAAATAGCTCCAGGGACCCAGATTAATACGTATTATACGATTTTTGTAAGTCCGGATTATCATTTAATTATATTTTTTTTACGTTTTTCACTACGCAAACAACTTTCTGTTTTAGCGCGCTGAACATGTCAGTTTGCTTTAAACTGCTGACAATTGCAGGCCTAATCTCACGGATCTCGTTTGTTTCACCTGAAATTAAGGTCAGATGATTTCAATGTTAACATTATACTTTGCTTAACTATGACATTAACTGAACAAGAGAACTTGAAAGTATTTACCGATACTCTCCTCCGCGTTAAACCAATTTTAATTCTTGCTGTATTTTACCAGAGTGTGGACATTCAAACAGGTTATGATCCTGGCTCGTGTAGCAAGAAGGAACGTGGTTTGTTAAAATTGATCAAAGATCGTTCAAACAGTGACAAACTGTTAATTTGCAAGGAAGAAAATGGAGTTTATGCTTGGATGACAACGGACGGTAAAGTTCTATGTGAAATGTGTTCTAAAAGTCCCAGAATTTTCTGTCAATTCTCGATACTTTTTTGTTTTGTGTAGTTGTTCAAACCACCAATATAAACATACGTTTCCATTGTAGGTTCCAGTCCGTCTGGCGAATATTTTAACCCCGGCTACGACTGCACGGATATTTTGAAAAAGAATTGGGAACCTCGAGACGGATTTTATTACATAAATTTCAATCGGGGTGCTCCCAAGAGGTTTGGTGAATTTATCATTAGTCTTATATTTATAATTCGATCCTAATTGCTTTTCTAGTCCCATTCCTAATTGCTTTCTTTACCGCAGGTGTATTGTGACATGACAACAGATGGAGGAGGATTTGCGCTGATTAATTGGTAAACTCAACAGTTCTGTAACATGGAAAGTTCCATCCAAAAACACAACAGTTGATCCATTTGGTGAATCTCAGTGGTCCAGTGATCTCGGTGACGCTCCAGTTCTTGATTTCAGAATACAAATATCAACCACGGAAAACTTAGCAAAGACAAATGCTCACTGGTAATAAGGGCAATAATTTTTTGTTTGGAAAATTTAAGAATAAAGGAAACTCTTCGGTTTACATGCCACACCAGTTACATAAAAAAATCACTAAACAGCTGACGCAAATGCTCACTGGTAAAATTAATTTTATTGTGTGTTCGGAAAATCTAAAACCAAATCTCAAAATCTTTGACTCACATACCACCCCAATATATCAAGCAATCACCCTCATAAGGAATCTGGCAATCTAAGAGGCTAAGACTAGCTTGTCCCATCGCTTGACTTAATAACACCCGGTGTTAGGTACAGGGTGTATACTAAAACAATTAGAAAACTCGAACTTGTTGTCTAATTGTTAATTATACTTTAAGAGCTAATTTACTTGAAATTTGATGTCACCATGCATGCAAAGTTATAGGAATATTATGAAAACAGGTCCTTATGAATGATTCATATTGAACAAAAAGTTGAACTCATTAGCTACTTTTTTTCAACAATTTTCACTTATTTTAAGACTCGTCGCCATTCAGAAACTCATTTAAGATTGTTTTCTATTGCAACCTTCCGCCTTAATATTACTTGCCTCAGATAAAGAATATAATTATTCGAAA